GGGGGGGGGGGGGGGGGGGGGGGGGGTGATGTGGTGTGGAGTCACTCGAGTCGATGAACTGAATGAGAAAATTCAGTTAAGGACCTCGAGGCTTAAAGTTACAAAAGTCTATAAAGAATATCAATGAGCAAGCCATCAAAAAATAAGCATATATAACTGTTTCGGCATCAACAAAAACACAGTACAAGATATTTCTGCTCCAACCCACAAACACATGAAAGCCTGTCTTGGGCGTCGACCAACTCATACATGGACTAAAATTAAGTATACAAACTTCTAGTAGTATATATAAACATGAAACCCAAGGATAAGAACACCCTCTTTGTCTATGAAGCTACTAGTTGATTATGAAGAAACGGAGACTTAAATCTGATGTCACTTCTTTTGCTTAGCCTTTAATTTGGCAGAATTCACCTCCGCAGCAGCCTTTGCAAGAGTAGTTGGTTTAAGGACGCCTTTTGGGTTCAGAGCCTTTCTTATCTTAAACACTGCCCAAGCAGTCCCAATAGCATGCCCTGCAGCACCAAACCCATGGTGCGTCACTTCTGCTGCTTGATCTCCATATCTGTCACAACATACATCCAATCCAAGCGAAATAAGTACTGATCCAGAAAGGAAATGAAGTTTCAGCAAGATACTTATATGTAGGTGTTGTAAGTAAACCTTCAGTTGTTCAACTTCTCGCTGAACTTTAATTTTTCTGAAGTAGGAAGTTTGTCTTTTTTATTTCAATTTACTCAAGTGTAACTCCATTAGTTATTCATACGAACATGGATTAAACAAAGCATCATTACGGAGGTCTTCCACATCTAACATTCCTCTAGAAACTGGAACAAGATGTGAAATCCAAAATCCAAATTGTAGAAACATAAAGTTTGGTGACTAACATAAAACGCTGCTATAAGTTGTGCAACCAACGGTTATTATACCTATATTACCAACAAAATACCAAACTTCCAGTACACTAAGGCAGTAGGCCCAGTAGTATATCACAAGTTGTGCAATTAGGGTCCGTTTGATTGCAATGGTGGAAAATTGATGGAAAGAAAATGATTTCCAGGGAAAATAATTGTCTCGAAAATGTTTTGCAGGAAATTGTTAATTAAGTGTGTTTGATTTCACCCCGAAAATTTTTAAATTTTCTATTCGTTTGGCTTTGTTTTACATGGAAAGTGTCTATTACAGTGATAATTTTTTCCACAATTGGTTATAAAATTTGTTTTCATTGCCAAAAAGTAAAAAAAGGGGGGAAAAATTGTTTCCTAAAAAATCATTTTTTAATAAAATTTTAGTGTTCGTTTGACTTTGTTTTACACGAAAATTGTTCATTAAGGTAAAAAAAATTTTACCATTGGGTATGACATTTATTTTTATTGCAAAAAATAATAATAATAATAACATGTGAACTGAAAAATCATTTCCCACCCCAAAACCAAGGCAAATTGGCACGTGAGCCATCTTCCCAGAAAACAAAAGCCATGGAAAATTTGGCTTTTCGAACGAGCCAAATGTAAGGAAAATGAATTCTTTTTTCAAGTTCAAAGGAAAATGTGGCTTTTCAAACACACTCTAAGGGTCCGTTTGATTGCAAAGGTGGAAAGAAAATATTTTACTGGGAATTGAATTGTTTAGAAATTGTTTTACTGGGAATTGTAATTAATTGTGTTTGATTGGTATAATTTTCCACCTAAAAAATGTTGAAAGTTTGGTGTCCGTTTGACTTCATTTTTTTATGGAAATTGTTCATTAAAGTGATAATTGTTTCTACTATTGCGTCTAGAATTTGTTCCAATTACCAAAAAGTAAAAAAAAAAAATTTAAACAATTAAAAAAAATTACCATATTCGTTTGACTTTGTTTTGCATAGAAATTGTCAACAAAAGTGAAAATTC